TTCTCATGAGTCCTATTAATGTTTTTTCCAGGTCTTAAGTGTTATGTTCTTTAAGAATATTAGGGGTAACTTAGGCTAGGGCTGGGATCCACAGATTATAGCCTGAGGGTCAAATCCAGCCTGCTGCCTGTGTTTGTTATGACAATTAGCTAAGGACAGACTTTACATTTTAAAACACAGTAAAACTTTTTTTTTTTTCCAATGTAAAAACCATTGTGAGCTTACAAAAACAGGCAATCTGTAGTTTGCCTACCCCTGGGCTAGAGACCTACAAGCTTTTAGTACACCTCGAGCAGTCTGAGCTTTTCAAGCTCCTGACCTGTGTTTGGGTCTGAGGCACACCGCTGTGGGGATTGCCTCTGGTTGGAGCTCCAGTAGACTGCTTCTGGATACAATGATGATCAGTTAGCTGAAAGGCTCTTCAGGTTCAGAATGATAGAATTGCAGACTTCTCTTTGAGGTCCAGGCTTCTTGTCCTGAGGTTATTCCACTCTAGGCTTCGTGCTGGGCTGGGAATTGGATCTGAGACCCTACTCCATTTCTGGTCTCACATTCCTGGTCTCAGGGCCACACAGTTGTTGCTATCTTCTGTTCCTGCTCTTTGCTTAGTACACAGCTACAGGCCCACGGCTGTTCCTTTCCCTCATCTACCCCTCCATGGGTGTAGGTTCCCTTCTGAGCCCACCCTGAATCTGAGATTGAGTTCTGGAACATAAGTGATGGAGTTGCCATTTGGCCCCCATTCCTGCTTCCTTCATAACATCAGACCACTCAGTGCTGGAACAAAGGCCTTTTCTTGCCCAGAGGACAACAGCAAGCCCCAGGTCAGGCTCTGTCCTGAAGCCTGTACCCCCCACGCTCCTCTGTCTCCCTAGATATATCTGGGCTACAAAAAAGAAACACTGTGATTTTTATCTGGGATTTCCTGATCAGGATTTGGTCTGGTATATTTAGGTCTTTTGTGCAGTAGAAGTGGAGGAAAACCTTCCTGTACTATTTCTTCTCCATTTGTATTTGATTTTAAAATGTGTTATATAATTTTGGGAGTTAGATTTGTCTTCTTAACCATGAAGCCAAGTATATGTTGTCTCCTCTATTAGGTGAGATATCTAGCATGCAGCACAGTGTTTTTCACATAGTAAGTATTTAATAAATGCATTTTCATTCATTTATTCCAGTAACTTCTATAATTCAAGTCTTACAATAAGTAGTCGAGGCTCAGAAATAACTTTTTCCCTCAGAGTTTTGTAACTTTATCCTTATTCAAATTCAAATGACTTCTATTCTTGAAATAATAAAATCAAAGAACTTCTTATGTTTATACAAAATTTACCCATCAGTAAATGAGCTTTCCTTATCCATGACAATGGCAGTTGGAGTTACAGCATAAACAGGCAGTTGAAAAGAAATGCTAAAAGAATCGTCCTTTCTAAATGTGCCATAGGAGGGATGGTTTGGTGAATGTAAGCAGATAACTGGGAGTTGAAACTTGTCAGCTCAGCTGTAATGTTACTTCATTCTAACATTGTGAAAGTCACTAAATTTCATAAAACAACCAGAGATGTTAAGTGAGTCAACATTTTTTTCCACAACACAAGAGGTAACGTCCCACGTGATCCCCACATTCAGTCTGTGGCTAAGTTTTTTCCTTTCTACCTTCACACCTCTTGTATACTACCCTTTCTGTCCATTCCCACTTGACCAACTGCATACTGTTCATTTCAAATTAGATGTCTCCTAGACATCTCAAACTCAGCATATCCAAAACAGAATTCACTATCCCCATCCCCCCAAATTGCCCGACTTCCAAACTTCCCTGAGGAATTAGTACTGCCAGAATTCAAGTGACCCAGGTTCACTAGTAGTTATCTTCCTAGTTTAGTGGAATCAGGAATCTTCCATTCTTTACTCTCATTCACCTGGCATATTCACTCAGTTGTCAAGTCTCGTTATTTCTGCACAGCATCTCTTGCGTCCATCTCCTCTCCACTCACATTGGCACCATTCTTGTTTTGGTCCTTATCACCTCTGGCCCAGACTATTGCAATAGCGTTATGATTGGGCAGCTACTTGATTGTCAGGAACACCTGAATTCAAATGCTGCTTTGGGCACTTACCAGCCTTGTTGCTCTGGGCAAATCACTTCATCCCTCAGTCTCAGTTTCCTCGTCTGTAAAGTAGAGGTAAAAATAGCTCCTACATTACAGATTTGTTGTGAGGATGAAGTGAGGTCATAGTCATAAAACACTTTGCAAATCTTAAGGCATTACATAAACGATATTGATTGTTCTATTGACAATCATAATTTTTATTATTACTCTTCTAGATAGGTGGATACATAGATAAAACATTTATAAAACACGCACTGTGTATCAGGCACACAGCCACTAATATGATTTTCCTAAAAGTGACTTTTGAGTACATCGTCCCTCTTCTGCCACCTCCCCTATCCAGTAAACTTTACTGGCCTTTAGGATCAAATAGGCATTTCTCATTTAAATAGGCATTTAAAGCTCTTCTCAATCTGGCTTCATCCTGCCTTCCTAGTCTCGTTACACATTACTCCCCCTACGCACTCAGGGTTCAGCTCAGCTGACTTTCTTGCTGTTCCCATTGCTAGGTTTTGGCCCTATTCCCCATGTCTAAAATTCCCTGCCTACTGCTCCCTCATGGAATCCCTGATTTTCTTCAAGGTTTATCTCAAGAGCCACATTCTCCATTCTCCTAATAGTGCTACCCCTCCCCACAAAGTTTACTGAACAGTTTTGTATGTGATTTGTATGTGCCTGGAGGTATGTGTGTTTGTATAGGTACATCTTATGTCCCCAGATAAAATGTGTATTACTTGAAGACAGGGACTGTTTCTTTTCTCTTTGTATCTCCAAAATTTAGCCATCTCTGGCAAATAGGCTTTAAAAAAAATTCTTGTTGATTAATTCTGTTCTCTGCCTCCACCTGATCCCCCTCACCCCAAAACAAAACAAAACAAAACAAAAAAACTCCTTGAGGCCATATATTATTTAATTTTGTCTCTGTATCCCCAGGGCCTAGCACAGGGCCCAACACATATCAGGAATTTAATAAAAGCTTGTTACATTGAATTGAATCCTTTATGAGTCCCTCTTTCTGGCCTCCTGTTTTTACCCATCAACTTCTCTCCCTTAGGATCTTTTCCCACCAAAGCCACCATCTTATGTCCCATCCTTGTTAATTAAGGGTCTAGCTGAAACTAAGGTATTACCCTTTATGGAATAGAAGGAGCCTGTTAGAGTGGCTAGAGCGCTGGCCTAGAGTCAGGAAGGCCTGAGTTTGAATCTTGTTTCAGACAACTACTAGCTATATAGTTTTGCAAGTTACTAATTTCTCTCAGCCCCTGTTTCTTCTTCATCATCATCATCATCATCATCATCACCACCACCATCACTTTAGAGTTTGCAAAACACTTTACATGTGTTTTCTCATTTTATCCTCAGAACAACCCTGTGAGGTACATATATTATTCCTGTTTTACAGATGAGAAAACTGAGGCAAATAGAGGTTAAATGACTTGCCCAGGGGTCACACAGCTAGTATCTAAGGCTAGATTTGAACATGAATCTTTCTGATTCCAGGCCCAGTGCTTTGTGCACTATGGCACCACCTAGCCATAGGTGAAAGAAAAAACTAAAAAAAAAAAAATTTTAAGTACTTTGTAAACATAAAGCACTTTACAAAAATTATTTATATGTGAAAGACTAGTTTTAAGATGGAAAGACCTTTAAAACACCCAGTGAAGTTATAGTGCTGGTTCTGGACATGTTAGAGATTGTGGGAAGGGCCTATGACTGGGAGTTTGGATGATGCCTTTTGAATGTCTCTTTAACCCCTGGGAGCTGGGGTAGGAGGGAATCCCATTTTATAAGCCAGGTAGGCTGTTAGAAACTCTTATAGTTTCTTAATGTACTTGTACTGGGGGCAAAGACCTGGAGAGTGAATGAATGAGGTGGTGTTACACTTCTGAAAGATTGCCAACCTCCCAGAGTTTAAGACAGTCATCAAGACTTGTCAGTCAGCAAGCATTTAGTGAACCGTTACTATATGTTAAGCCCTGGGATTCAAAGGAAGGCAAACACATTCCTTGACCTCCAGGAACTCACATTCTAATGGGAGTCAACATGTAAACAATTACAAACAATGTGCCAGATCTTTACAGTGTAAATGGATCTTCATAACAATACTGCGAAGGAGGTGTTATTATTGTCCCCATTTGACAGATAAGGAAACTAAGGCTGGGAGCATAAGTGATCTTCTCATGATCACTCTGCTAGTCAGTGACTGAGGCAGGTGGGATGGAGGGGTAAGTCCTCCTGCAGGTGGGATTTGAACAGAGTCTTGAAGGAAGCCAGGAGGTAGAAGTGAGAAGGGAGAATATTCCAGGCATGGGGGACAGCCAGTGAAAAGATGTGGGAATGGATCATAGAGTATGTGGAGGGGAGTAAAGTGCAAGAATATTGGAAAGGTAGAAAATGGCCAACTTGTGGAGGTCTTTAAAAGCCAGAGGGTTTGGAGGTAATAGGAAGCCACTGAAATATATTGAGTGGGGGAGAGGAATGACATGGTCAGAAGTGTGCAACTGAGTGGAAGATGGGTTGGAGTGGGGACAGACTTGAGGTAGGGAGACCAACCAGAAGGCTGTTGTCATCGTTCAGGCATGAGGTGACGGAACCCGTACCAGGACAGCAACTGGGTGAGTAAGAAAAGAGTGTGTGTGGCATACTGAAGATGCTGTGAAGGGAGAAACCAGACTCGGCAACAGACAGGGGACCGTTTTCTGTTCTGCTTACCATCTCTGCTTGTATGCAGTTACTGTGTTGTCATCAGAATAAAATTCTGATCTCTTAGATGTAAAACATTAATGGGAATTTGCTGTGGGAATATTAATCTTAACTCGATCATTATATGAATAGCTATAAAAAATTTATGGAAAGAATTTACAGGGAGCCTTTCTTTTTGTGTTCTAGGTCTTGACAACAATTCGCTCAGGACACAGGGCAAATATATTTAGTGCAAAATTCTTACCCTGCACCAACGACAAACAGATTGTATCCTGTTCTGGAGATGGAGTAATTTTTTATACTAATGTTGATCAAGATGCAGAGACTAACAGACAATGCCAATTCACGTGCCATTATGGAACTACCTATGAGGTACAGTAATGTGTTATGGTTATATGAAAGTACAGATTTAGTCTAATACAGGAGGAAAATAAGCATGGAAAGATCATTATTGTCTGAGAAATCAGGATCACTGACCAGCTATTCTAGGTTGTTCCTCAGTTTTGCATTATTTCTCAAAAGTTACATTTTATATTTTTTTTGTCTAGGTAATTAAAATCTTAATAGTTCTCCATGTGTCCTCCATGCCAATTAAAGCTGATTACCCACTGTTCTTCCCAACATTCCATGGGCTTGGCTGACTGCTATCTTTATTCACTGTTCCCTGAGCCTGGAATGCTTTCCCTCTTCCTCTTTATTTCATTCTTGGTGTTCCTTTCCCATTTCCCCCCAGTTGATAATGACCTTTTCCCACTCAAACCTCACACAATACTTTGTTTTCCAGAGCTTAGCATAGTGCCTGGCACAGAGTAGGCCCTTAGTAAATGTTTCTTGATTGATTTTCATCTCTAATGCATTTAATGTCTTATTATTTTGACCTTCCTGTCTTAGCTATAGCTCAGGTTAGGGATAACCTACCAAGCTCCAGGAAGACAGAGATTGTCTGTCTTTTCATAGATAGGAAGTTGTAGCTTTTTATCTTGTCTGGATTCCTTCATTTGTATATCCATTTGCTATGAAGTCATAATTCTTTGATATTTGTCATTACTGGATTATTACATGAGGAAGCAGCTTAGATGGCTCAGTGGATAGGGTGCTGGGCCTGGTATCAGGAAGATTTGAGTTTAAATCCAGCCTCAGACACTTATTAGTTGTGTGATCCTGGGTAAGTCACTTAACCTTTGTTTGCCTTAATCCACTGGAGAAGGAAATGGCAAATCGCTCCAATATCTTTGTCAAGAAAACCCCAGATGGCATCATGAAGAATCCAACACAACTGAAACGACTAACAACAACAGCAACTGGTAGAGTAAATTCAGGATCCTAGGTAAAGTAACTGAGTCCTTACAGCATGTTCACACAAAAGGATAATTACATTTCATGATCATGGTAGGGAAGAAGGGAGTTTTATATTTACAGTTGGGTTGGGAAGAAATCACAACTTCTTAACTATAGTTGGGGAAAGCTTTTTGAAAATGTGAGTATGCACAGAGAAAGAGGTGGCAAAGGAAATAAGGCACAGCTCTAGGTACACTCCACCTAATAATTGAACTCAGTCCATGAAAACAGGACTTCACATGAAATAAGGTTGCAAAACAAAGGATGAAAGCCACAGTGTCCTTGGGAATAGACATATCCACCATCCTTGTGCATCCCAAATTTGTACCCTAAAAATTTCATCTTGTCTTTAGACTGGAAGCTGTAATAGGGTTGGAATGGCTGCTCAGATACCTCAGACCCCAGTTGTGAAGAGACCCGGCACACACAGTTCCCTGGGGACCCTTGAGGTTCCCTGAGGTGGGGAGAAAGGGAAGAAATGAGTATCTGCCTTGAGAAAAAAAGCAGAACCTAACCTCTTCATGAAACAACAGGCTCCTTACTCTTGACTTCAAAATCTAGCAAGAAATAAAAACTCTTAGATGTTTTAGTTCAGTTACGATAAATATTTATTAAATGCTTTCTTGTGCTAGGTATGTTGTTGTTGTTCAGTCGTTCAGTTGTGTCCAACTCTTCATGACCCCAGGGATTATACTGCCAGTGGAGTTTTGTTGGCAAAGATGCTAGAGTGGTTTGCCATTTCCTTCTCCAGCTCATTTTACAGATGAGGAAACTGAGGCAAACAGGGTTAAGTGACTTGCCCAGGGTCACAGAGCTAGTAAGTGTCTGAGGTCAGATTTGAACTTGGGTCTTCCTGACTCCTGGACTGGCACTCCATCCACTGAGCTACTTAGCTGTCTCCTAGTGCTAGGTATAATTAAATGAAAAAAAATAGCACAGATTTTGCCCTTAAATTCCATTAATAGGGTTTGTGATAAAGAAATTGATAATAAAAGATGACTGAAGCTTGCTCACCACTCTTCCAGCGTGTTTATTCTACTTGAAATGCCTTTCAGAAAAGCATTTTGCCATGCCATATCTTGTAGGACTTCATTTTTTATAGCTGTTATATTCTAGGTATCTCTCCTTGTAGAGTGCTTTTGTATGTTCCAAGGGCTGAGGGCCTCTTTCCCCACTTCTACCCCTCCAAACTCTGGGATTACTTAGTGAATGTCTGCTCTCAGGGACTGACCAGAAAAGGTCATTTTTTCCCCTTTGTCTTGTAAGCTTTCACCAAGAAGCGGGAAAAACTCCAAATAGGCCCATACGTAGACTTTCAGAAATGAGGGCACTACAATCTCCAACTCCCGTCAGAACTCAAGGTAGTAAGTGCATATCAAGTGGAGGATATCCTATAAATAGATGCAGAAAATACACAAAGCCCTCCCAAGCACTCATAGTAGCCAATGACCTCCCTTCAGAAAGGAACCAAACTTGGGCTTGCCATCAGAGTTAACCCTATGACATTCCAGTGAAATCCCTCTCTCCCACAGGCCTACCAAGTTTCTTCTAGACTTGAAAGTTGCCCACAGAAGGCAGATATACTTTGGAGCTATGAGATATGTACCCCCTTCATGATCAGACCCACAATCTGAGAGTAAATCATAATAATAGCAGGCGGGCAGCAAGGTCTTGATCAATGGCAGGGGTAGGGAACCTGTGGCCTCGAGGCCACGTGTGGCCCTCTAGGTCCTCAAGTGCAGCCCTTTGACTGAATCCAAACTTCACAGAATAAATCCCCCTAATAAAAAGATTTGTTCTGTAAAACTTGGACTCAGTCAGAAGGCTGCACTTGAGGACCTACAGAGCCACATATGGCCTTGAGGCCACAGGTTCCCCACCCCTGTTCTATGGCTTCCCCACATCAGCTTTTGAGATATCGGTGGCTTTTTAGCAATTAGTGGTGGGCTTTTTATGATCGTCTAAAGCCTCTTAGTTAATATGTCTCATTGGTTACAGGAAGACACAATATAGTTTGTGCTTCTATGAGGCATAGAACTAGAGAGGTCTCTAGTTAAAGGGGGCCATAAAAATGAGCCGCCTTCTTCTCCAAGCGGTATGTTCGTCAGGAACTTATCTTCCCTGCCAAGCAGCCAACTCCCCAAATTCTCATATTTGGTGTAACTCAAGAGACAATCCTTGGGGTTAGTGCTGCCCACAGAAATACAACTTCTTTGCCAAAAGGTTCAACTCTAGTATCATACAGCCTCGAAAGTGAAGATTCCCCCATTCTACAAAGGAGATTGGGATACAGGAACATTGTCCATGAACTATCCTGTTAGGCCATGTAGTTGTACCTAGGAAAGAGCACTGGCTTTGGAGTCAGAATCTGGGTTCAGATCCTACTTATGATGATTATTGCCTGGGTGACTTTGGGCAAGTCACTTAACCTCTACAGGCCTCCATTTTCTTGTTTGTAAAACGAGGGGATTAGACTAGATTATCTCTGAGAGTTCCCTTTCTATTCCTGTTTTTGCCAAGTGCTTCTGCAAAAACTTATGATACTGCTTTAACTGCTCTTAGGTCTTTTGATGGTAACGTCCACTCTCAGGAGCTCTGCTCTTGTATGTTGGCAAGCATGTGTGTTTCTGCTCCAAGACAACATTAACTGAAGATACCTCCTACCAGTTGCATTCTAGAAGAAAGATGAAAGATTGGTCTGCCAGCTTTCATTTATGGGTTGGCATGAAGGGGAAACACCTTCAATAAGAGTTTTGTTGGTCTACTTAAGAGTCTTAGGCAACCAGTATTTTTAAACAACATCCTTGTCACTGCAAACCAATCAGAAGTTGCTTTTGTCCTCTTAAGGTATCAATGGATGTGTCTATACTGTGTCGGTAGAAAGTTATACTTACCAGATTGATCTGGCAGATTCCCTTGACCAACCTCCATTTCATGTAAAAAGCTAATTGAATTGTTAATATGATTACTCCTTGTATACATACAAAAATTCTGAGTTCAGTTTTCAAATTTCAAACTCTTACCTTTCATTAGAGCTCTATACATATACATACATATATATGTATGTATGTATATGTATATATATGCGTATGGGTGTGTATAAAAATATAATTTTTTGGTGTTTATTTCAAAGTGGTATGGGTAGAGAGAGCCTTTTCAAGACCTAAACCTGGAAAATTGTCCAAACTCGTTTTCATGTTGAGCCTTCTCAGTAGCTGGGGAAATAATGCTACTTATTTTTCTATAGAATAGAAGGATTCTACTGCTAGTCTTAATTACATAATCTCACACTTGGAATGCCATCTAATCCAGCTCACACCTAGTGAATTTTTGCTTGAAGACCTTGAAGTGAAGGGGAACCAGCTGCCTTTTGAGACAGCTGTACCGTTTTTGGAGACTCTCATTGTTAGAAAGTTACTTGTTTGTTTGAGCCAACCTAAATTTGTCTCTGCCAGTTCTGTCCATTGCTCTAAGTTCTGTCCTCTTGAACTAAGCTGGATACTGGACAAGTCCAGTATCTCTTCCAAGTGATAGTCCTTAAAGTACTTGAAGACAGAATTTGTGCCCTCTAAAATCTTAACTTCTCCAGGCTAAGCATACGCAGTTTCTCTATCTCTGGATATTATGCCTTGTTTAAATGCAACTTTCTCTGATGGCACATTATTACACTATTGAATAATATTGAGCTTTTAATGGACTAAAACCTCTAGTACTTCTTCAGGTGAATTGCTGTCTAACCAAACTTTCCCTGTTTTGTGCTTCTGAAAGGTATTTTTTTAAAGAACCATTTATCCCTATTAAATTTAATGTTATTTAATTTGGCCCAGGGTTTGGACTTGTCAAGGTATCTTTGGATCTTAACTCTATTATACAGTGTATCAACTATCCCTCCCAGCTCAGTGTTATTTAATTCCATCATTTCTCAGGTGCCACCTATGTACCAAGCCTTGTGCTAGGGACTGTAGATGCAAAAATGAAAATGAGAGTCCCTTTCCTGTTGCTGTACCCTACAGATATTCAGAGGTCATATTCTGCTGACACTTAATACAGTTAAGCTTAATTCCTACCCTGGAGCTAAGCAGTCCCAGTTGACTAGTCAGTGATTACAAACTCCCATTCATCACTTTATTTTAACCCAAATCATTGGATGCCACTTCCATATACCATGTATCCTTGCTCTGGGAAATGTAATCAAATACATACTATTGTTGCTGCTGTTTACAAACTCTCCAGTGATGATATTCATCATGTCTGTGATTTTGCAGACCAAAGCATTCTTTTTTGGCCTTTCCACTGTGATGACAAAAGTTCCTTGAGGACAGGGGTAATCTTGCTTATATAATTGTATTCCTAGCACTTGGTAAAGTGCTCAAAATGTGTTAAACACATAATAAATGCTATTTTAATTCATTCATTCTCCTATAAATCTGCAAATTGGATAAGCATGCTGCCAGTGCCTTATTCCAAGACCCTGATAAAAATGTTAAATAGCACAGGACTAAGGCATGTATCTTTGGGTCACTCCACTGGACTTCTTCCAAAGTGACAGCAAACACTCACTACTCTTTCAACCATTCCTAATATACCTAATTGTACTGTCATCTAGCTTGTCTGTCCATTTTCCCCACAAAAAATAGAATGAGGGACTTTTATCGATTGCTTTGTTAAAATCAAGGTAAACTGTTATCTACAGAATATTCCTAATTTGCTTGTCTAATAATTATGCAAAAAGGAAATGAGTTTAATCTGTTGTAAAAGGAATAGAATAAGCATTTATATAATGGCTACTATGTGCCTTGCACAGTGCAAGCACTTTATGAGTGTATCTTTTGAGCATGTCTTATTAGAAACTTAATATCACCAGCAATACAAATCTACTTATTTAATAACTATATTTAAATTCATTAATTTTTATATTGGAAGTAACAGTAAACATTTTCAGTTCTTCTCTTTAAGTGCCCATCAGGATTCTTTGTCCATTTATTTTCATTCACTTTTTCTCATGTGATCTGTTCTTGATGAAGCCGGACTGGTTCTCTGTGATCACTGATTTCCTTTTCTAGGTATTCACTAACTATCTCTTTAATAATATGTTCTAAAATTTTGCCAGGGATTGAAATAAAGGTCACTTGGCCATTCTCTTCCTGTTTTTGAAAATTGGGGCAACATTTGCCCTTCTCAGGTCCTTACAGTATTTCTTCAATATCTTAGTATCTCTATGATCTCTTAGTATCTCTCTTTATAGGGAGGTATTACCTCCCCCTCACCAATTTTGTTTTGTCTTTTCCAATCCAAAGGTCATTTTCTCTGACAGAGAAAAGAGAAGCAAAGTAGGAGTTGAACTGTTCAGCCTTTTTCCCATTGTTAGCCCTCCTTTGATGCTACAATTTTCCTTGACATAGCTGACAAAAAGCCATTTTTATCCATAATTTTTACATCAGCCTTGGTTGTAGTGAGATCACATATTTAATGATATTTTGCATATCTGAAAGCATTCTATAAATTAATGTTGAGTAGATAATGATGATGCATTTTTTGGCACTTATGACGCTAAAAATCTTGGATGACTGCCTTTAAGTCTAGCCCAAGTTGGAGCTCTGACAGTTTCTCCCAAGTCCAAGGTCCCCTTTTGTCATATCTGCAAAGTCATACCTTATAAAATCCCTTTTGATGTTCCCTTTATCAAACCAAACAAGGAGACTCATTAATTTAAATAAAACAAGAGCATCTAATTAAATACATACTAGCAGACAAAATAACAAGGAAAAAAGTCTTCCCATATATTGAGGGGAAGAATCAGCTTCTTTTGAGATATAAAATATGATAAATTAAAGATTCATCTGGAATGATTTTAGCAGTAAATCCTTTTATAGGTATGGCAGTGGAATTTATTACAAGTGACAATTCTTAAATAAATATGTGTGTGTTCTTTTTTAAATTTCAGATTATGACAGTACCAAATGATCCCTATACTTTCCTTTCTTGTGGTGAAGATGGGACTGTTAGGTGGTTTGATACCCGCATCAAGACAAGTTGTACGAAAGAAGATTGCAAAGACGTAAGAATCAAATTTAAGTGAAAAGATTACAGAAATATTAGATTTTTGAAATTTTTTTCTTTTTTTATTTTAGACAAATGCAAAAACTTAAATGCATAATAAGAAAAGAAAAGATTTTTAAAATTAAATAACAGACACATTGCATTTACACCTGTTTTAAAGAATTACGGAAATTAGCATTCTTTATTTCCGGGGTTCAGTTCACTCATGTTGAAATCCAACAACAATTAGAGATGATAAAGCGTGAGCAGGATAATACAGTGGTTTTAAACACTTAAGAATCAAATGTTCTAGTAATATATTACTCTCATCAGAAGGTAGGTCTCTAAAATTATATATGCCTTATTAATACCATCCCCCACTTTTTGCAGAAGAGGAAATTGAGACTCGGAGAAGTTAATTAGATAGACCAAGATCACCTAGGTAATTAGTGGCAGCTCAGGACAGTGATTTTAGTTCTCTTGTCTCTGTTGTGCCACACATGAATTTCTAAATATCAGGACATAAAACAGCATTATCTTACTTTTCCTACATATATTAGGAAGCCTAGACCTAAAGCTAAACTATGACATGAGTAACTCAAGTCTATCAATTTGGGGAGCACATTTTTAAAATATGGGTCAGGTTATCTCAGTTGATATATAGATCTAATTTTTGTTTTTTGGACAGTACCTGTCATTTTTAATTAGCTTTCCTCTGGCAAATATGATGAAGTAGCAAAATAAATCTTACTTTGGGGGCTTTATTTAATATTTTTTTCTGTTAAACATGCTTTATAGGCCAACAGGGTTGGTTGTTTATAGCACAGAACTAATTTATAATCAATTCTCAATTATCTGCTTTGTGGATTACATGGGAGAAGGTTCCTCCAACCACCACCTTCTCAGTTGAAACAAAATCTCCTCTCTCCTGGGGAAGATGGTGGAGTAGGTTAGAAAATTCCAAGCTCTCCAGATTTCCTCCACAAACAAGACAAAATAATGCTTCAGGGTGAACACAGAACAGCACAATAAACAAGAGTTGGGGCAGATGACTGGTCTTCCTGGGGCAACTGGAGAAGACCCAAGGAAAGACTCCAGGGACAGAGGTTTGGGCATGAGTGAAGTGCAGACACTTCCAGGCTATCTCCCTCTGCTGAAACAACAAGCCCTGGAAGCAGCTAGGTTGGGAAGTAGCCACACCCTCATCCAGAGGAATTCTCACCTCACAGATGTGTGGAGGGGTCAGACATCTGAGCAGGGGAAGATTGAAAGTCCCTCTGCTGCCCAGGGACTCCAGGCCCAGCTCTGCTGCCAAGACATGGTCCTGGGCTACGGCCGAAGGCAAGAAGGTATCAGCACACAGCCAGAGAGTGCAGAAGCAGTGGGGCAGGGACGCAGTTGGCTGTGAGCACTTAGAGGAGAGCTGAGTTCTTGGTTTTGGTTCGGGGCCAGAGGGGAGAATTGAAGGTTTCAGTCAGTGGAGGGTCGTCAGGGAGCAAGAGCATTTCCAGCATAGTGTGGCTGGGGGCCTCAGCTGTGGCTCAGAGGGGAAGAGGAGTGCAGAGGTTGGGCCTTGGATAAAAGTCAGAAAATAACAATAAGAAGGACCTGAGACCAGAGGCACCCTCCACACCCTGGGACTAGAAATAACAAGCTACTAAAAATCAAAATGAAACAAAATAAAAATGAGTAAGCACGGGAGAAAGAACCCAACCATAGACAGCTACTATGGGGATAGAGAAGACCTGAGTTCATTTTCAGAGGAGAATACTGAAGCAAGCAAAAGCCTTTCCTACCCCAAAGAACAACATCAAATGGTCACGTGGCAAAAAAGAGTTCTTAAAAAGAACTTAAAAAGGACTTTAAAAATCAAATAAGAAAAATTGAGGAAAAATTAGGAAAAAAAAATGAGAACAAGAAAACAAAAAAAAATATGAAAAGAAAGTCAACCAACTGGAAAAAGAGATCCAGAATCTTAAGGAAGAGAACAACTCATTGAAAACTAGAATTGGGCAAGGGGAAGTGAATGATGTTATAAGATACCAAGAAATAATAAAACAAAACTAAAAGAATGAAAAAATAGAATGTGAAACATCTCATAAGAAAAACAGCTGATTTGGAGAACAGATCAAGAAGAGAAAAATATAAGAATTATTGGACTACCTGAAAACTATGCCCAAAAAAAGAACCTTGATAAAATATTACAAGAAATAATTAAAGACAATTTCCCTGAAGTATTAGAACAAGAGGGGAAAGTAGAACTGGAAAAAAAAATCCACTGATCACCACCTGAAAGAGATCTCAGGATAAAAACCTACAGGAATATCATAGCCAAGTTTCAAAACCCCCAGGTTAAGAAGAAAATATTATGAGCAACAAGGAAAAAAACACAACTGATTATATCAATAATAAAAGTAACAAAGATAATATAATATCAATAGATGCATAAAAAGCATTTGATAAAGTACAACACTCATTCTTATTAAAGACACTTAAAAGTATAGACATAAATGGACTTTTCCTTTAATTGGTAAGAAGCATTTACTTAAAACCATCAGCAAGCATTATATGTAATGGGAATAAGCTGGAAGCCTTCCCAGTGATATCAGGTGTGATATTATTCAATATTGTACTGGAAATCCTAGCAATAGCAATAAGAGAAGAAAAAGAAATAGAAGGAATTAGAATAGGGAATGAGATAATGAAACTATCTCTTTTGCAGATGATATGATGATATACTTGGAAAATACTAAAGTCTCAGCTAAACAGTTAATTGAAGGTCAAGAATATCAAAGAAGCTAATGAAAAAATGTAAAAGAAGGAGGGTTAGCAGTACCAGATCTTAAACTATATTATAAGATAGCAATTGTCAAAATTATTTAGTACTGGCTAAGAAATACAAAGGTAGATCAGTGGAATAGAGAAGACATACAGTCTACAGCAGCAAATGAATATAGTAACCTAGTGTTTGACAAGCATAAAGACTTACGTTTGGGGGATAAGAATTCATTATTTGGTAAAAAATTTTGAGAGAGCTGGAAAGCAGTCTGGCAGAAATTGAGCATAGATCATTATCTTACACCATTTACCAAAATAATGTCAAAGTAGATACATGACCTAGATACAAAGGGAGCTATTATGAGAAAATTTGAAGAACATGGAACATATTACTTATCAGACTTAAGGTGAACAATTTATGAACAAATGAGATAGAGAGCATTGTGAAATGTAAAACGGATAATTCTGGTTACATTTAACTAAAAAAATTTTGTACATATAAAACAAATGTAGCCAAGATCAGAAGGAAAGTAGAAAACTGGGGGGGAGAATTTTATAGATAGTTCTTCAGAGAAAGGTCTCATATCTCAAATATGTAAAGAACTTTGTCAAATCTGTAAGAATCCCAAGTCATTCCCCAATTGATAAATGGTCAAAGGACATGAACAGACAGCTTTCCAATGAAGAAATCAAAACAATTTGCAGTCATATGAAAAAATTATCTAAATCATTATTGATTAGAGAAATGCAAATTAAAACAACCTTGAGATACATTTTTTTTAAGGCAATTGGGGTTAAGTGACTTGCCCAGGGTCACACAGCTAGTAAATGTCAAGTATTTGGTCTGAGGCTGAATTTGAACTCAGGTCCTCCTGACTTCAGGGCCGGTGCTCTATCCATTGCGTCACCTAGCTGTCCCCAAGATACCATTTCACACCTATCAGATTGGCTAAAATGATAGAAGGGGAAAGTGACACTTAACATACAGTGGAGGGGATGTGGAAAAATTGGGACCTTAATTCATCATTGGTGGATCTGTGAGCTGATCCAACTATTTTGGTGAGAGATTTGGAATTATGCCCAAAGAATTGATAAACTGCCTATATACTCTTTGACACAGCAATACCATTATTAGACGTGTTTCCCAAGATGATTAGGAAAAAAAGGAAAAGAAGCTACATGTTCTAAAATATTTATAGCAGCTCTCTTTGTGGTGGCAAAGAACTGGAAATTTCAGGGATGCCTGTCAGTTGGGGAATGGCTAAAAAAATTGTACTATATGTTCATGATGGAATATTATTCTGCTTTAAGAAATGATGAGCTCAGTGAATTTAGAAAAGCATAGAGAGACCTCTGTGAAATAATGTTGAGCAAAATGAGCAGAACCAAAAGAACATTGTGTACAGTGACTGTAGTTTTGTTTTAAGAACAGCTTTGAGCAACCAAGTTATTCTGACTGTTATAAATACCCAAATTAACCACAAAGATCCTATGAAGATGCTGTTTGAATGCAGAAAAAGAACTGACGTGTGTGTGTCTGGGGGTCTGTCTATGTATGGGTATAAACATACAT